TAGATATATACCTGAATATACAAGAAAATATGCACATTTAGTCAAAAAAAAATGTAACCTCACCTGATTGTTTTATGAATATGAAGTTCAAAGACATCATAGTTTAGGGATCATTACTGCTCAATGATAAAAATATATAATATTAATCTATAAATAATACTCAGATCCAAATGGCAGGCCATCTACAAAGACCTTCTCAAGATTGCTCTAAATTATATATTAAAAAATCAAGCATAAATATTCACAAATAAATAAATAATCCCTTTGACACATTACTAGTAATATTCTTATAAAGTTGCTTTAAAGTTATTTTTAAAGAAAATAATGAACAAATTTTTAAAAATATGGGGAGGAGCTGAAACAAGTAATTTACACAAAAAACATTAACATACTGTAACACAAATCAATCCATGTCGACATTTAGAAAATAAAAAACATAACAGATTGTCCCATTATCAAAGCTTTTGTGCCTATTATTCCAGTCTACCTCCATTCTAATCTCTGTATTAAAAGATAATAATAATTCTTTCAGTCCACAAACATCTGGAATGATTAGTAAACTTTACAGACAGTATACTAATCATACCTTTTCTTTCAGTATGAGGGCAGTATCATTACTATCTCAATACATTTTCATGATTACAGTAATTTATAAGGCTTCTTAAGTTTTTGCCAGACATTTTCATTTAAGAACTTTGCAAGAACATACAATCTAACTTGTAATATAGTTATGTTACATCTAGCAGTTGTTATTTGATGCTAAATCAAGTTGACGAACAATTACTTCTCGGTCTTTGATGGCTTTCCATGCAATGTCCTTATCTTTCTTAGAGGGGGTCTTCTTTTTTTGACGTGCAGCTGCTATTGTACGATATGCCTCTAAAACCTGTTGGGAAAAAAAAGAAAATGGATCAAACATTTTCATGAGGTGCACAAACTATTAATGGATCATACTCAAACATTTTCTAATTATGAAAGCAAAAAATATTTTTAAAATATTGATCAATAAGGTCTAAAGGCAAATCATATAAACTCAGAATACATTCGTAGAAACAATATGGATATTCAAAACAATGTAAAAAATTTCACCATGACACAGTCCAATCTATCTTATTTTTCTCTTCTTTTCTACCCTACACCTAAGATTAAATAAACTAGACCTTTGTATCATACCTTTTGATCTGCATCTCGAAGCTTCTTTTTCAAATCATGGCGAACTAAGGATTCACGGGCTAAGGTTAACAAACGACTTAACTGCTGCGCATTATGGGCTGATACTGCACGTAGTTCTGCCTGACATCTCCTCAACTCTGATAGGATTTCATCATCATCGTCCTTGGACACAGAAAAGAGATAATTAACTTTTTCTATAATTTTCTAATAATACACAAGATGTTATGATCTGCAATTAAAGCACAATATTCTATTGCACCAACAAATAATTCTCTTACTTCATTTCCATATTCTGCCTCCAAGACCCCTTGTTCTTGAAGTTCTTTCTTAATGCGTTTCTCCAGGCTGGAAGCACTTGCCAGCCCCAGTGACCTTATCATCCCCGGTCGACTTATGCCCAGTCCATCTACAGCTGTAAAGCATGCACCCTTTATCAAAACATAAATGCAAGGACCCTACACACAGTAAAAATATACATCACCATAATATTATTTCATATTTGCATTATTATGTGCCATAATCAAATGAGAACTCACCTTGAAATTAAAACATATATAGTGAATACATACCTTTGTTTTCTATATCAGACACTAAAACATTTTCTTCTACTAAACCAGCAATTAGTCTTTGGGTCAGGGGACCAAAAGGTGCTACATCATCATTACACCTGCAAGAAAATTAAAGACTATTTAAAATATACTGTGTACCATACCTAAAAGGTTAATTCAGTGTCACACAGAAATGTGATACATTTCTGTATGAAATCAAAATTATATATACTGTATATCTACTGCATTTTTTAACATCTACTTAGTGGAAAAAAATAAAGTCCATATTTTCTGTACCTGACATCTCTTAGGTCTGATGTTACACCAATTCAAACAAATGTGTGAAGTGGAGACATACAGAACAAATATATTCTACAACTTACTTTTCAATTATACCTTGTATGCTTCCTAAACAAAAAAATTCATACACAGTTAAATAATTATTAGAAAATATGAAAAGATAATACTGGCAAAGTAAATTGAAGACAAGAGAAGAAACATTACAAAAAAAATAATCAAAATATCAAGAAGTAAACATCTTTCTCTAAATCTTTCAAGCAGCTACTAATAAACAGAGGAAAATAAAAAAATATAACAGGAATCTTGAAACTCACCCATTCATATCCACTTCCTTTAACAATTTATCAGACATATCTGAGCTACTTGAATCTGTCTTAACATTTTTCTTCTTCCCCTCTGCAAGTTTTACACCTTCTTTCTGTTCATCCTAGTAGGGGAGTGGGGAATACGATTTAAAACAGGGTACATGTTGTGCAACAGCTTTAGCACATTATCAAGTATAAACAAGTCTATTAGTCATAAATGTATATTTATACCATATGTATAACAAATTACTGATAGCCGTTTAAATTTTTCATTTCTGTTTCACAATAACAGCACTAAAATTGATAAATCATTAAAAATTATGCAATCACTCTCATCAGGATACTTACTTGCAGGTCTTCTTGAGCCCAACGTAATGTGTAGTGTCTTCCTAGTGGAGGTGTTTTATAGTAGTCACTGTCATCATTTGGATTGTTGATCAAATCTTCAAGCATCTGTTCAATGACAAACCACTTGATTAATTTCAAGTCAAAGTCTCTACTTAAATTTGCATAGATTTTATCAATCCTCTAATAAATACTCCAAGACAAAATTCTCATCAAAAGAGCATTCCTATTTTTGCTCACAGCATTCCAGGTCTCACCTTTATATCATCAACAGTGATTTCTTGACAATATTGCTCTACAGTTGCCCAGAAGCGGTTGGTGATGTCATTTTTGGGTGGTGGAGGTTTGGGCTGCTCTGGGGGCCCAAGGTCAGGCACATCGAACACTGGTTCATATTTCTGTACGGAACACTTAACCTGAAAGTTTAGAGAATAAACAAAGACCATAACAAAAAAATCAAACATAGGAAAACCACAACAAAAGATAATGCTAATATATTTTAAAATCAACAAACAGAAATTACATCATGTGGAAAAAATAAATAAATAAACCAAAAATAAATTAAGTTGAATATTATACACAGTTCTATACTGTAACAAAAGATTTTCAGAAAGAAAAAAAAAATTGAAGAAAAAGTAATTATGTATCACGTTATTTATCCAATACAAAGTACAGAAAAAATGTAATCCAACCAATACACAGTACATAAGAAATGTACTTCTTTCAAGGTAAACAATATCATATCACCACAGAACAATATATGCAAAGAAGTTATAAAGATATTTTTTCCAAATCAAATTCAAAAAAATTAGATGAGACTAACTTTATTCACCTTAGCCGGCTTCACACCCGGCGGAGGGCCAGGGGAGGCTAGGACATCTCTAGACTTGCCACTGGAGTCCTTCATCTTCTTGGATGGTCTGTCAGGGTCATCACGTTTCATCTTCTTCCCAGGAGAAACTGGCTGTAAATAGAACAAGTAGGTTCCACATCAATAGAATGGGAGAATCTAGACTACAAGGTATACTGAAATGTGAACAATATATATTATAGTGGTACATACAGTACTACTATATATACTGAAGTTTTCAAATATAATCTTTGACAGTACCTACAAAAAAAAAAAAAAAAAAAAAAAAAAAATATATAATATATATAATATATATATATATATATATATATATATATATATATATATATATATATATTAACCCATCACCGACGGGTAAAAATTTTGGCAAGTTTACATATGCACAGGCTTGTTGGCGCGCACCGGCAGTTTCCCCTGTTTGCGCCCGGCTCGATCGGTAGTTTGCGAGCGACATATAGCACCTGAAAGCTTTTATTTTGCTAAAATTTATAAAAATATTCAAATTTTGAAGGTTTACCTTCACTTCAGGTGCCATTTCCCTAAATCTTTACCATATAAATGAAGCCACTACTACCGGAGAAAAACAACCTCCGTCCGACGAGCCAGTAGCGCGGGAATAGGCATGACATGATACCCCCGGTGTTTGGTCCACAACAGCCATGGCATGTACATACATGCCACCCGGCGGCAATGGGTTAATTAAAATAAATGATAAATAAAAAAATATAAAATGCTGATGTGAGCTACAAATACATCCTACCAAAGCACAAAGTACCTCCTTCATACTTACTGTCTTGGGTACATATTTGCCCTTCTCCAGCTGGTGGATGATATTCAACTGGTTGCTCAGGCCATTCTGCCGCACAAGGACGGATGACAGCAGCAGCTCTAACTCAAGCTGGAGACCGTCGAGCTCCTCCATGGAAACCCCTTCCGCATTCACCACTGAGGATACGAAGCCACCTCTTAGCACTGGGGGGTTACCAGTGCCCGAACAAACAGGTAGAATCAAAGAATTTAATAAAAAGCAATTCTTATTGAAGCCTTAAAG